GGTTTGAAGTTAAACATCTGAAATTATTGTACTGTTGTTACAGATTGTTTCAGATTTTCAACTTTGAAGACAATAATTTATTGCAGTGGCAATAGTATTATTACCAATTTTGGTGCAGTATTAAAATAAAAACAATATTCTATCAGAACTAAAATATCTGTGAATCACAATGGAATTTGAATTTGTATAAGAACTATTTCATTATTGCATTATAACAAGATACAATATTTTACACTAAAATTTACAAATATTTATTCATGTTTAAGTTTATATATATTAATATTTCATTCTGCTAATATATCTTGCTGTTCTTTGCTGTTTTTTTCTTTATTCATTTATTCTTATGTGCATACATTGTTTGGGCCATTTCTCCCCCCTGTTCCCCGCCCCCTCCCTTTCCCTGCCACCCCCCTTGCTTCCAGGCAGAACCTGTTCTGCCCTTTTCTCCAATTTTGTTGAAGAGTAGACTTAAGCAATAATATGAAAGACAAAGCATTTTTGCTAGTTGAGATAAGTATAGCTATACAGAGAGATTCTTAGCATTGCTTCCATGCACAAGTGTATTACAACCTGAATTGATTCATCTCTACCTGACCTCTTCACTACTTTCTGGTCACCTTCCCATATTGACTTCTGTCACTTTAAGGTTACTGTGTTAAGCTCCTCTGCAGTGGGGACATCAAACATGAATTTCAAGTACTGGGTTTCCTACCAATCCCCATTCCTCCCATATGTACTCTCCTATTAGCATGCATGTGACCCAACTCCAACAACATTACTGCATTTGCCCTAGATCTAAAGTCCACATAGGAGGGCGAACATACAATTTTTGGTCTTCTGAGCCTGGCTTACCTCACTCAGAATGATGTTCTCCAGTTCCATCCATTTACTTGCAAATGGTAAGATTTCATTCTTCTTCATGGCTGAGTAAAGTCCATTGTGTATAAATACCACATGTTCTTAATCCACAACTCTAAGATATAGAGTTGTGATGCTGTTAGCTGGTTCCTATATATTAAATATATTTGTGTTTTTTAAGTATATCAAGCCTTCTAAAATACAAAATTTAGATAAACATGGTAACAAAATGTTAGTGGTATTGATATACTGTTCTGTTAATTGTTAAGTGTCCATCAGAATTTTAACCATGATGCTTAAGTTTTTGTCATTACAGTTCTGATCCTTCTGGGGCATTTACAATCAAGTCAATAAAAAATGACTTTAATAACTACTTATGTGTCAACCAGGTTAGCATTTTAAAAATCTGCTTTTGTTAGATTTTGTTTTGTATTGTCCTTGCCTAGAAGCCCACTGCCTAAGAGCCAGTCTTTCTAAGCCTCTTTGTTGCTTAAATTTGGCCAAAAGGGTCTAGTTGGCACTGACTCCCACCTGATCTGTTCGTTATCCACCCCCCATGTGGGACCAAGACCAAACAAACAAAATCCAAGAAACAGCAAATCCTGACAATGGGAAAAAATGACCAACAAATATCTTCAGTCTATAGCCATACCACCCTAAATGTGCCTGATCTCGTCTTATCTTAGAAGCTAAGCAGGGTCGGGCCTGGTTAGTACTTGGATGGAAGACTGATCTTCAGAAGAGACGGCTCAGAGGCAAATAGTTTGGAGACAAGGGGGGAATGCTGTCAAAGTTAAAATGGAGTCACTTGTGCCAGACCTCTCAAAAATAACCAAAGCCGAGAGGATTGAGGAAATGGTTCTTATACATGTATGGCTATTCGACATTAAAGCCCTTCCAGACACAAACTCATATTTTTAGACAGGGTCTTCTACTTAAATAGAGACAAAATAACTATTTTTACTGGCTCTAAATATGTCCTTTGATACTTAAAGAAGTATATATATGTTTCCTTGGACATATATACCGATAATATATTGTTGCCATGGTAATTCTACTCAGTTAAGAAAAAAAAGACATTGTCTGGATAGAAAATAAAATGTCCACCCATTGGAGGGGCTCTTTTGTTGTTGTCTTATCTATCCCTACTACTGTTAAAGTAGCAGAGATTGCTCCTTGGATCCACCACAGTCTAGTCAAGCCAGCTTCTCTTGAGTGGGAGTTTATCTCTGATCCAGCCTCACTTTGCAGGATCACCCTCCAGCACCTGAGCACCCTCCCTCGGCAGTGCTCCACTTCCCAGGATACAACAGGGGACCAAGAATGGCAGGATGACAGCCCTGCTCTAGTCACTCCCAGAAGCTGACTAGTCTACTCAAGGCAGAAACTTGAGTCAACTCTCCAATGGGACAAACATGTTGTTTTTCACACCAGTTATCTCACTGTAATGCATTGTCACCCCTTGTCTGTGTCTGTTGCTGTAGTTCTCATCCTAGTCTTCACCATAAGCTTGGCAGAAACCACTCCCCCGCCCCAATTGGTCTCATGGTGAAAGGTTTTCATTTGCTCTCCTCTTTCACTTTTGAGCAGGATGCATAATTGCTATTTATTGTTACTGATCTCGTTTAACAAAGAACAAAATACGCAGCCCTCCTTCACAAGGAGAAAGCTGCCCCTAACTGCACCTGTGGCACTTGTAACCCTGTAAATTTCACTGTACTTAAGCCATCTGATTAAACACAGGGAAAAGTAATTAGTATAAAAATAGATAAAAAGGGTTTTGACCCTGAGAGTCTAATGCACCTCAAATTAGTAACTGTTACCCATGAGAGTTCCTCATACCAGGTTTTTCATTCCTTTTATAAGGAGATGAGAGTGAATTTTCCATCTCTGCCAAAGCTAAAAACTGGTTCCTCTCACTGGCTGAGTCTATAGCCCAGACACTGAATGTCACTTTATGCTATGTTTGTGGGGGGACCAACATGGGAGACCATTGGGCTTGGAAAAAAAGATGACAGATGCCTCCTGAGTAAATCATCCAGTACTATGGTCCTGCCACCTGGGCAAAAGACGGTCCTATGGCTATCGCACCCCTATATATATGCCCAACCGCATCATCAGGCTGCAGGCTGTTGTTAAAATTATAACTAATTGAACTACAAGAGCCCTCAATTTGCTGACAAAACAAAGCACTAAGATGCACAATGCCAGCTATCAAAACCACTTGGCTTTAGACTATTTGCTTGCTTCTAAAAAAGAAGTTTATAAAAAATTTAACCTAAACAACTATTGCATATAAATTAATGATTTAAAAAAATGGTTATAGAAGAGATCACAGACAAAATCAGAAAACTTGCGCATGTTCCTGTCCAGACTTGGAGAGCATGGGATCCCTGTTTAGAGAATGGTTTTCTGCTTTAGGTTGATTCAAAACCCTGACAGGGGCAATGGGCCTAATCTTAGGAGCATGCTTAATACTGCCCTGTCTGGTTCTCCGGGTGCTACAGTCTAAAGGCTATTATAAAGACCACTATAAAAACAAAACAAAAACAAAAACAAAAAACGGCTACACATTTAATGGTGGTATAAAAATACAAACCCCTAAATTAAGATGGTGCTCTTTGACCCTAAGTGGTTCCGAGCATCAAAGGGGGGAATAATGCAGAAGGGAGGAGGATCAGAAGAAAACAGCTGAGGCCTAAGTCCTGATAAAGCAGCAGGGAGACAGGGATGGCATAGCAGAAAGATAAAACTTGAAAAATCTAAACATGAGGAAGGTCACATAGCACTAGGGAGGGGAAAGTCCCATAGCACTAGGATAATGTAGCCAATAAAATTAAATATAACCATATATGGATTAGGTCTTGCTTTTTTGCTTCTGTAACCTGCTTGCGAGGGTATATAAGGTGAGACCCCTTTGTTCTCGGGGCTCAGCCTTTGGACATGAGTCCGCTGAGTCTGTGCTGGCACAATAAAATGCTGCTTCCTGCTAATTGCATCAGAGTCCCATGTCTCAGCTAGTAACCTCCCACAACAGGATGGCTGAGTAAAGTGGTGTATCTCTCCAAATGGAGAATTATACTGTGTGAATGTCCATTGCAGAGGAGGCTTTCACTAATGAGGTAGGTAGATAAACATTCTGTGATTGTTATCCAGCTTCCTTGTCATTCTATTTCTGTTTAATGGGTTGTAATTTACAGTGACATTTGCATTGCCAATGCATATGTACATACAAGATGTAAAAGCGCTAAATGCATGGTTTTACCTTTACCAGAGTTGATCTGAGTATTGCACTGTTGGGTACCTTGCCTTGCCACTCAGATCAGGAAAAGTCAACAAAATCTAGAAAATGGCTCCATTTCTTAGTAAAACTAACCAGCTATGTGTAAGGCAGGTTAATTGCATAGTTCCATCATTATTAGGATGTGGCCAATGAAGTGTTCTCTCCTGACACCAGGGCTCTGTAAGCACCACCATAATTGGGCTTCATGAATGCCTTCTGCACCATTGTGATCATGTGTCCCATCTCATTGCTGCTAATCAAGGACTCATTTCATAGAAAGGAACATTCCTTACATATAAGTACAGTGTTGTATGGACTACTCACACAGGACTCCAGGTCATATACAAAGTTGACAGGTTTGGGGTGTTGTCATATAGGATGAGATATATGCTTTGAAATAGCATTTGATACATGTTATCTGGGTAAAAGAAGGGGAAGTAAGTAGTGGGAGAAGGATATGAAAGCATATTCTCTCTATAAATTCTGTATGTGTATACATGCTTACAGGCATATAAACTCCAATTCTTCATTTTGTCCTTTCTCATTTTCTTTTTCTTTTTTATACTTTATGTAAAGCAAATAACCTTGAAAATTTGTAAGTTTCAGAATGCATTTGAATTAAAAGGCAGAATCATATCCTAGCTCTAGAAGTGGACATAGTGACTGACAAGACTTGTTTTTTGCCTTGGGGAGAAAGAAAAAAAAATTACTCAGATTAGTTTTAAATGACTCACTACTTGTTTATAAGTTTTAAAAATTCAGAATAATATAAAGTAATAAGTATAAATTAAGGCTTGCTTTGATATTCTAACGGTGATCTATTTTGTCTTTTCTTTTTTTTCCTCTTTTTATATTTTAGGTATTATATTTGGTCTTGTAGATCTGAGCCATGCCAGTTTTCACAAGGAATATGATGTGAAAACCAGTGAGAAATTAGTATTGGCACTCACTTATGATGTTTCCTCTTGCCTGGTAGCAGTATTTGTAGCTTACTATGGAGGAAAAATGAACAGAATAAAATGGATTGCATTTTCCTCCTTTTTAATAGGATTGGGATCATTTTTTTTTGCTCTTCCATACTTCAGTGCTAAAGTTCATAAATCAGTAATGGAAATGGAAGGTAAGATTTTCAAACACACAGTTACTGTTATTAGTTTAAATCACTGATACTCAAGGAATTCGAAATAGCCTGTGATACCTATCTATCTGTATATCTATTCAGCTGTGTTGATTTATATAATCAAGTTTATTAACTAATTATTTGTAGCTCCTTAGTGAATGCATGTATCATATAACATATCCCTCATAGTTATGACCTAAAAGGAGAGGAAATATTTATCCTAGGAAGGGATAAATTGTAAAATTATTTCTTTTTTTACAAATTTTCACATGCTATGAATCTCTTCAGAATGCTGGAAATTCCTTTTGTCTTCCACAGAATGCTTTAATGAATCCCTTTTATACTCACCTTAACACACACACGCACACACACAAGCTCAAATACAAACATAAGCCTAAGCACACACAAAAGTCAAACCTGTTCTAGCCACTCCTATCAGTCCTACAGTTTTTTCACTATTCTCACTAGATAAAAACTACTTGAAGTTTTTGAGAACAATTTCTGAAACTATTGTTTTAAATCCTTTACTATCATGTATTGGCTTATCTATATGTGTTGCTTTTTGATTTTATCTTTCAATCTTTCTTCAGTCCACTTTAACATGACTGCCATCTAAAATGCTGCAACAAAATCATTTCCACCAACTCAATAACATAATTCATGTTATTTAATACAGTGAAAACTTTTGTTAGCTTTTTGAACTTTTGTCAGCATCTTGTAGTATTGATTACTCCTTCTTACTTGAAATTCTCTCCTCTTTAGATTTCTGTTTACAATAGCAATATAATTTACAGTCCCAAGTCAATTTAATAATATGTGGGGATTTCATTTTGCTAATTCCATGCATGCACACAGTTTACTTTGAATAAGTTCACCCCTTCCATTGTGTTTCCATTCCTCCTCCTTCCTCCCTTTCTCAAACAGCATTTGATGGGTTTCATTATGCTGTCTTCATATGTAAGAATACATTGTTTTTTCAGATGTTGGTCAACATGAAGCTAGGGACTATGATCCCTAGGAGAAGAGAAACAAGTTGAATTTTCTAGAAGACGGCATCAGTAAATGACTGTGAGGCACATGGAAACCTTGAGCTTATTCATCATGAAGTCAAAGTGGAATTTTCATGGCTGTGTGTTTTTCTAGAGCCAAAATCAGCTTTAAAAGTATAGATGTACAGTGGAGAAGAGAGATAATTTGACTAGATTTAAGGGATGGGATGATGTCAAAGGAAGCAAGGAAATATAATGGTTTAGAAGATAGTGATAGAAATAAGTATGTAAATGGTTACTGAATAGTGACAAGAAGTAATATCAATGGATTTTTGGTCCTGGTGAGTTTTAAGGGTTATAGGAATTAGGTAGCTGAAAGGAGTGAGCTGAAAAAGCATGGGTTCTTAGAGTACAGATGCTCAATTAGGGAAGGTTTGTACAGACAGTTAACATTTGAAATGTCAACTAGCAGCTAAGTTAGGTGGGGTACAGTGTAAGTTCAAGGATCTAAGAGGTCAGTGTGTTGGAAATACCATACATTGATACTGATGCCCCTGCAACTCAATGTCTGTATAAAAGGAGCCATTAACATTTGAATCACAATTCCAGAGACTTCTTTCCATTTGCTATGGAGTCAACTATCATTCCATGGAACTAAACCAGATGAAAATTGCCATTAGTATGCTATGCTGCACAAAGTTTTCCAGAACATTTTAAAAGCATTTGTTAAATTTCAACCAAAATGACCATAATCAATATGATCTAAAAGCAATTGCCTAAAAATCAACCAATCTAAAAAGAAATGTAAATATGCACTTAATTTAGTCTTGTTCTATAGGCACCTGAATTAAAAATGCATAAGAAATATCCTGTGACTGAAAGGATTTTAAAATCTAATGGGTAGATGATCATATAATAACTAATTCTGGCAGAAAGAAAGTTTTGTTATGTTATGCTTTGTTTTTATGATTCTGTGTGTATTAGTTACTTTTTTCATAACTGTGACAGAATGTCTAACATAAAGAGTTTAAAATGAGGAAAGATTTAATTTATCTCATTTCAGAGTGTTCAGTCTATAGTTACTTGACTTCCTTAATTCTGGGCCTGTGGTGAAGCAGAACATTTTGGTGATGCAAGTATATGAAGAAGGCTTTCCCCCTCATAGTGGGTAGGAAATACAGCAGACAGAAAAGAGCCAGGGCAAAACATGCTCTTCAAAGTCATGCCCTAATGACCCACTTTCTTCAGCTAGAACTCACCTTCTGAAATTTCCAGAGCCTCCTAAAATACTGCAACTACCTAGGGACCAAGCTTTCAGTACCTCAGCCTTTGGGGTGGCGGGGACACTTCATATCCAAGATGCAACATTATGTTCTAGATGTTAGTCAGTCTAAAATAAGAATTTTATCAGAGTGACACAAGTTTAATATAAAGATTGCTAAAAATGGGCAGAGAACTAAATTCAGAAGGTAAACTTTGATCATTCATATAATCCAGAATATTAGAAATACTTTTTATCTCGGGTTCCAAATTCTGAGGAACAAGATGTCAAATGGAGGAAAATGAGTGTATATGTGTTAGGTGTGTGTAAATGTATATGTACAAAAACATACCTATGCACACATGTTGTGTATATACAATCCTATATGTGTACTTATTTTTATGGTTTATAATATGTCTATCTCTTCCAGTATTCCTACAGATACTCTTTTGTCATGTTCTTTTTCTGAGTACATGATTGAATAACTACTTTCAATATAAATGAATTATTAAATGCATAAGAACAGAAACAGCTTCTATAGAAGGAAAAATATTTGATAAAGACTACTGTAGATTTGTTTTGTGTTTAGCTTTAAGTTTCAATTAACTAAATTATAATTATTAACTTTTCAAAAGATATTTGCCAAGAAAAGAAGCTTATCGATGTTTGCCCAAAAAGTAGATCATCATTCCAAACAAAATATCTGACTTTCTTCATCCTCGGAAAAATTGTGCAGGGAATAGCAGGAATGCCTCTTTATATCCTTGGGGTGACTTTTCTTAAAGACCATGTTGCCACACACTCATCTGGCATCTACTTAGGCAAGTTGTTTCCATCTCTAACGATGGACCCATTTTGAATTTTCATTGAACTTCTATATTTTGGGGGTGGGGTGGGCAGTTCTGGAGATTGAACTCAAGCCTCATACTTGTTAGGCAAGTGCTCTAGCACTTCAACCACGCCCCAGTCTTTTTGTTTGTTTGTTTGAGTTTGTTTTTCAGGAAAGGTCTCAAGTATGACCATGATCTTCCTACCTCCCCAAGTAACTGGGAGCACAAGTATGCACCACCATGCTGGTCTTCTTTCTAAGTTAAGGGTTTTCTTATTTATACCTGAGCTATCTTCAAACCCTGACCCTCCTATTTCCACCTCCCAAGTAGCACGAATAACATGTGTGTGCTGTCATGCCCAATGAGCTTCTGCATTTTGATGTGTTATATTTTAACTGATACAGAAGCACAAACTATTAACCCTGTGATGACATTGTACTAAATACTACATTTTATGCTTAACTTTAAAATCCCACTAGAACACTCAATTCTGAGAAGCTACTTGAGATTTGGAGTTCTAAACAAATCATCTGAATGCTACTGAAAAACATGTAAAATAATAGAAAATATATACATTTTAAGTAGCAAAAACTCATACTTTCTATCAATCATCTTTATCTATCTATCTATTTATCTATCTACCTACCTATACGCTATCTAGGTTGAATTCATTTCTCCTGAGGAAAAAATCTAAAATTGTGTGATTAAATTGTCTGGCTGTTATATTTTTAAATTTGGGGCTGCGGGTGGGAAGCCACTGCCTCACCTCCATAAGATGTATAGGACATTATTATATCATATTATTATATCATATTATTATATCATATTATTATATGCCTCCTCAGTACTAGATTCAGAGTGGTGCTGAATGCTCATAATTGTACTGATTTCCTTACAACCATTAATTTAATTGTTCTTAAGACTCTGGTATTTTGAAGCAAATTAAAAGCATAATCATGTTCATCCTATATGGAAACAAACGATTTGCTATTTAACTGAACATAGTGTACTGTTCCTTATTTGCAATGTCTTATGTCACAGCCTCCTATGATAAGTAATCTTATCTATATTTCAGAATATTCTGTTCTTTTTTTACTTCAATAGATTCTGGTCCTGATAGGTCATCTATTTGTACAGTACATTTGTACATTTATCTCTATCATTTTTGAAAAAAGTCATAATTTTTTGGAAGTATTGGGTTTGAACTCAGAACCTTGTGCTTGCTGGGCCATGATCCTAGCCCCCTTTTGCTTTCATTATTTTTGCAAATGCCTTGCTTTTATGCCCAAGCCAATCTGTACTGTGATCCTCCTAGTTACCCTTCCCCCTGTAGCTGGGATGACAGATCATATGCCACCACACCCAGCTTCTTACTGGTTGAGATGGGATCTCAGGAACTTTTTCCCTCGGCTGGCTTAAAGTGCAATCCTCTATATCTCTGCTCATCAAGTAGCTAGGATTACAGGTGTGAGACACCATTCCTGTTGTAAAATTATTTTTCTGTACTTGGTGTGAAAGTTACTTAAAAGTAAATGGTACTTTGCACTGAAATAATACACTTTTCCACCAGAGGTAAGAAAAGTCACATCAATAGAGTAAAATAGAGGATATTCACTTTTACAAAAAAAAAATTATAATTTTTGTTACTGTTAGTCAAGAATGACATCACATCATTCTTGTGAAGAATGACATCATATGTGAAAACACTCATCTCTATAATGTAGGGAGAGGTTTATTGGATTGCCACCTCCTGCCACCTTGGCACATAAGGTGCAGATATGATTATATGAAAGCATCATCTTGCCATGGTATCATAGTAAAGAAAATATGTCATCTTGAATTTATATTCATATTAAATATATTTAGTTACATTAAATATGTAGATAAAATAAAGCATAGTTAATTATATAATTAAATATTCTGAGTTTCTCTGATACTTGATTGACTAGTATGTGTGATGGTTAATTTTATGTGCCAACTTGTCTAGGTTATGCCCTAGACAAACCTCAGTTGTTTGGTCCAACTGTGATTACATTATTTTAGATGTGTTTAACATTTTTTATAATTATGGGCTGGTGGAGGAGCTCAAATGGTAAGAATGCCTGCCTAGAAAGTATGAAGACATTGAGTTCAAACACCAGTGCCACCAAAAGACAGAAACAAAGAAACCCCCAATATTTATAACTAGTAGACTTTGAGTAAAGCACATGACCTCCAAATATGGATAGGCCTCATTCAATCAATTTAAGGGCCTAACAACAAAGACAGTTTTCCTGAAGAAGAAGCAGTTTTGCCACAAGACTGCATTGTCAACTCTTGAATCTCTAGCCCTCTGGGACCTGCTTTACAAATAATTGTATGAACCAATTTTTAAACCCCCCCCATATACAAATATCTATCTATCTGTCTATCTATCTATCTACCATCTATCTATATTTCTTCTTTCTCTGGAGAACTCTGACTAATATAGATGCTGTGTAAAGCTTTCAGAAATAATTCATTTACATCAATTGATTTTTATCATTTTATGGTGAAGATGGTTTATGAAGTTGCTTCATGTTTAATATTCCTTTTATAGGTATTGGTGATGCTTCAGAAATATTGGGATATGGTTTGGGTTATACAATAGGAGCACCACAACTTAAGGGCCCTGAGAATAGTACTACTGATGAAAGGTAAGTTACTTTCTTTTATTTTACACTGTATAAAATAAATATTTTATGTTTATGTATGTATATGGCTTCTAATGCAGTTATTTTTAAAGAAAAACAACAAATGTCTCAGTAAAATAAATACATTTAAAGTACACATTTGCATTTTTACTGCTCAAAATATAATTAAAACCATTACTTATCGAGGCAATCTTATGACTAATTCTTCATGTGTTCTTTTTTGGTGGTGAAAGCCATACATCTTAACCACTTTTAAGTGTATAATACAGTAGTGTTAACTATTTGCACATTGATTACAATGGATATCTAGAACTTTTTCATCTGCACAACTGAAACTATACAACTCCCCTCCCCCACCTTCATTCTACTAGCAACCATCATTCTACTTTTGTTTCAGAATGTTGGTTTAGTGCTTGAGGCAATTAGAGCTCAATGCTAGTGGGGCAGTCTAGGGCGACTGTGTAGGCCATACTCAGTTATTTCAACAGCCATTGAAAGGAGTTAGGATATCCACTAACTTTGCTAATAATGTGTTGAAGGATATTCCTGGGATTAATATAAATTCCCGAGCAAATCTGACTTGCCCTCTGAACCCTGGACTCAGCACAGAATTCTTGTCAATGAAAACTATCCATTTGTTGTGTGAGGGAATAATAAATGCTGAACCCAGCTGATATAAATGAGACACCTGCAACATCTTCTACCACAGTGTTTTAGGTTTGAGTTGAGAATATAATTAAATTGATATAATCCTATAATTGTATAGTAATTAATGGCATGTATTGCATCCCCATTTTTTTTGAGGAGGAAGAGCAAGAAGTTAGATGAATAAAATTTCCCAGTGTTTTCTTCTTTTAGACACACCATTTGAACAGTACAAGGCTATCTATAAGAGCTAAGGACTTTGGTTGATAGACCCTAGTTTCTGGTTTTAATATAATGGAAGAAAAGATACATCAAGCAAGCAAGGATAATGACTTTCTCATCATCATTCTCCAAAACTCCAAAAAATACAGAACAGAGAGAGACATCTCCCCTTTGGGCAAAGGAGAAGGAATTAAGTCCAGGCCTTACACTGAAACCTAGTAACAGGTCTGCCATCATGTAACACAGTACTGAGCAAAGCTTCATGACACCTAACTGCCCTGAGACCTGTACCCACAGACTAAGCTTCTGCAACCATTTCAGCCATGTGGTCAAGGGATAGACTCTTCACATCCCTCCCTCAACCTCATGTAGAGAAGCTTGGAAGCAAGCTGCCATCCACTGGGCAGTAAAGCTAGTGTAGGACTCTGACTTGGAGCTCAGTGCCAGGCCTACTACAGTGAGATCCAGGAAGAAATCAAAGGCCTCTGAATCCAAACCAGGGCTCACAGATGGAGCCTATAGAACTGCTCCAATATCAGGATAGACCTATGCCCTGAAGTAAGACTCGTATTTCAGCTTCTATCATTGATAGCCTTGGAGGGGGTCTGGGTCACCTTCCTTCCCTATTGATATTTCTATGTTGATTTTTTTTTGTTCTGCAACTTTGCCAAAGGTATTTATCAGATCTGGTGGAGTCTTTCTGGTTTTTTTAAGTGTAGGATCTTGTTATCTGCAAATAAGGATAATTTGATCTTTTCCTTTCCTATTTGTATACCTTTTATTTCTTTCTCTTGTTTTATTGCCCTGGCTAAGAATTCAAGCACTATATTGAAAAAGATTGGAGAGAATAGGCACTTATGTCTCATTACTGATTTTAGAAGAAGTATTTTCAGTATTTCCCCATTCAGTATGATGTCAGCTATTGGTTTGTCATTTACAGCCCTTATTATGTTGAGGTGTGGGTCCTTCTATTTCTAGTCGCTTCAGGGATTTTATCATGAAAAGATGGAGTTTTGTCTAAGGCTTTTTCTGCATTAACTGAGATAATTATGTGAGTCTTTTTTGTCCTTGATTCTATTTATATATTCTATTACATTTATTGTAACAATCATCATTGCCATAAACTAAAACCCCACCATATTTATAGGTTTTCTATTCCTTTGTCCTATTTCTCAATATATCTTTCTATTTATATGTCAATAATGTAAATTTTAACTTCTGAAGTTTTATTTTATGATTTACTAATTTTGACTTGATACATTCTCACTCATTGCTCTTCATCAGATATCAAGGGCTATTTTTTCAAAGTTATTCTAGACAAATTTGATAATTTCAGATTACAACCAAAGCATTTTTATTTGAATTGAACTTATCCATCAATTTGGGAATACTTGTTACCTTTCCATGGGAGAAAATGGCATGCTGTACTATTATCTCTACAATTTTTATGTCCTAAAATAAAGTCTTCTTATAGTCTTTACTGGTTATATCCGATTAAGCTTATGCCTGGCACTGTTAAGTGTTGTGCATGGAATTATTATGTTCTTTTCTTATTATTTTATTTTCTAATCTATTATTTCTAATGTGGGGAAAATCTTTTAATTTTTAAATTTATCTGATAAATATGTCATCCAATCAAATTTTTTTCCTTACACATTATAGTTTGTTTTTCATGATGCCCCTGACTCTTGTAGGCATACAATTATATGTAATAAAATGTATGGAGTTAGAATACAAAGCTGGGCTCAAAGTGAAAAAGAGAATAAAACTTCTGCATATTATAAGCGGCAAGAAGCCAAGTGCAGTAGTGCATATCTGTAAGACCAGCAATTTGGGAGGCTGAGGCAGGAGGATTGCAAGTTCAAGACCATCCTGGGAAGACCCTATCTTTTTAAATTAGCATATAATAGTTGCACAGGAGGATACATTGTGATATTTATGTGTATGTGCTTAAAATATATCTTATTTATATTTACCCTCTCTATGTTCTCCTTCTTCTCCCTTTCCCCTTCTTTGAGCAATTACAACAGGTTCCATTCTTCTATTTTCATATATGAATACAAAATACATCTACTATACTCACCCTCATTTACCCTTTCCTTATGCCCACCACCTTCTACAGGTACCCACCTGCAGAAAAGACCTATTTCATCTTCCTGCTCTTCATTTTCTTTTAAAGTGTTATATTGATTGTCCAAGGGTTTTTCACCTTGGTACTTCAGGCCTATATTATATCATGCTTTAATCAAATTAACCTCCCCAATTACTTACTCTTTCTCTGTCACCTTTGTCCCCTAGTAGTCAACAGCTTACAGTGTATTACATTATAATATACTCATGTTCAGATGAGTTGTTTCAATATTTTTCATTCTTTAATATTTTCTTTCTCTCTCCTTCCTCCCATTGTCCCTCAGACATTGTCCCTTCATCATTGTCCCAGTGATACAGTTTCATTCTCTCTCTCACTATATATATGTTTGTGTGTGTGATCATATATGCATTTATATATAAATTAACTTACAGCTGTAGCTGCCACATATGAGGAAAAAACATGCAATTTTTGACTTTTTAAGCCTTGCTCATTTGCTTAACATGTTATTCTCCAGTTCCATCCATTTACCTGTAAACAACATAATTCATTCTTTGTTAATAATGCTCCATTATTCTATATATATATAATACATAATATAATACTCCATTATTTTATATATATATATACATATATACATATATATATGTATATGTATATATATATATATGTATACCATATTTTCTTAATCCATTCATCAGCTGTGGGACATCTGAGTTGTTTCCAAAGATTGGCTATTGTGAATAGTGCTTCAATAAACATGGATGTGCAAGTGGCTTTATTATATCCTAGAGTACATTCCTTCAGATATATGCCCAGGAGTGGTAGTCCTATTTTTAGTTTTAGTTTACTGTTTTCCATAGTGGCTGCACGAACTTACATTCCCATCAACAGTGTAGAAGTGTTCCTTTTTCTGTACATCCTTGACAGCATTTGTTGGTTGTGTTATTGATGCTAGACATTTTCATTAGGGTGAAGTGGGATCTCAATATTGTTTCAATTTGCATTTCCTTTTTGGCCAAGGATGGTGAGCATTTCTTCATATGTTTATTGGCCATTTGTACTTCTTCTTTTGAGAATTGTCTATTCAGTTCATTTTCTCAGTGGGTTGTTGATTCTTTGGGAGTTTTGTTTTTAAGATCCCTTTATATTAGTGGATATTAATACCTTGTCAGATGTATAGCTGGCAAAGATTTTTGCCTGTTCTATGGGCTGCCTCTTCAGTCTAGTGACCATTTCCTTTTCTGTACAGAAGCTTTTTAGTTTTGTGTAGTCCCATTTCTCAATCTTTTGTGAGACCCTATCTTAAAATTAAAAAAAAAAAAAAAAGGATTAGGGTATAGCTCAGGGGCTAGCTCTTACCTAGCATTCACAAGACTCTCGTTTCAATCTTTAGTATTAACAAACATATAAACAAAACAAAAAGGGACAAGGTAAAATGTAGCTCTTGTGTTAATCTGTAGTCAAATTTCTCTGGGCGTCGTATATTTAGAAATATATGAAAAGCGAATAATGCAAATGAAGATTGCAGCCCTTTGTCACTGTGGATTGATTTTTATGTTACTGAATAATGCTAACAATGAATAAGGAGTAATCCCAACAGTAAATAAGACTGAGAATATTGTCCACATTTTATGTAAGATGAAACCTGGTTAGCAATAGGGCCATCTGTGAGAAATTAACCCCTCTAAAACTGAGTTCCTGGTGGGGTGGATGTGGAAATTTTCCCATAGTGGCTCCTTGGGGAAGCTCTTAAATTATGTGTGGAGCTGTAAACATTGATGACTGTATGTTAATGAACTTCTCATATTTCTTCTCTAAATGATGCAAAATAACTTGACAACTACAAAAATGCTTTACACAATCATGGCCTCGGTGTTCATTGAAGACAAAAACATGCTGAAGCTCCAAAATCACCATGAGAAAGAAGAGAAAGTGAACAAATCTCAGCACCGGATCTTTCACATTCCCATCTCACCTTGTTTATTGTAAGGCTGTGTGAGAAGCAAAGTCAGACCAAGAACAACTGCAGGAAAAACAGAAGACAGCTAACAAAGGGTCCGACAGGAAATTTGGGAAGACCACCAGAAGGAAAAAAAATCACATTAAATCTGAGAGTTCAGAGAAGGAATGAAGGGAGAGATTTCAAAGTATATGTAACATAAAGGGTCAGGTGCCATATAAAAGATCAGTTGTGTAGTTCAAAGGGTCACACTTGCCTTAATGGTCTAGGTTCATGATTTAAAGGGACAAGAATGATTTTAAAGGAGAGGTAAATGGCTGGTGGAGTGGCTCAAGTGGTAGAGTGCCTGTTTAGCAAGCATGAGGTCCTAAGTTCAAATCTCAGTACTGCAAACAAAACAAAAAAAAGGAGACACTTAAAGAGATAATTTTTTAGGTACAGTTTTTGATAGGGAGAAAAATTAGACAGGAACAAACAGGAAACTTTTGCCAACTGAGGTAGTGCAAAAGAAAGACTAGAGAAAAATTTAGGATCCTGCAAGATCAAAGAGAAACATGAGCAATGCAGATGGAAGACTAACCACTACCCCTGGACAAAACCAATAATAGTGACAAGTTATGAGTTAACAGAAAATATTCTCTCTCTCTCTCTCTTTCTCTCTCTCTCTCTCTCTCTCTCCCTCCCTCCTTGATATTGTGATTTAATTTTTAAGCAAATACTCAGTTGAAATTCTTCTTCTTTTTTTTCCCATTAAAGAATTATCTTTGAACCTCGTCAAAGTAAAGGAGCAGGGTTTTGGTGGATTGATTTTCTTCTTGCCTCTGGTATTGCATGGTCTACATTAATACCAATCTTATGCTTTCCAAGTAGTATAGCAGGTAAGTATAAAAATATAATTCATTAATTAAAGGGCACTAGTACCTGCTCCCCAACTTCCATTTTCAGATCATGGCTGCACTGCATTTCTTTGTGACTATGCGTATTCTACTAGTAGAGGTCTATTACAGAAATACAGTACCATCTGCTTGTGCTATTGTCTTTTGAGCTAATGAAAACACTGCAGCCAAGTATTTATGTTTTAGAATTTCATTAGTATATATTTTTATTTCACATTATTTCCTCTTAATAATGCTTTGTATCTGAAGTCTTTTAAAAATAATGTATATTTAAATCTAGTTATCAAATGTTGTTTAATAGGTGTACTAACACATAGAAGTTTTGTAAGACAACATTAGTGTTAAAATTATTATTGTGGAGTTCAACAAAGTCCATCAAGAATCTAATTATCTTTTGATAGCACATTTTATTACCACAAAATGTTTTTAGTAACATTAGAATTTATTCTTTTGTATTTTTTGCTTTTGCTCTTAAATGTGGCTATTTACTTAGCCACAGGAGCTACATTTCTAGTACTTAGTCAGATGTAGCTAGTGATAAAGGATTGGGCAGTGCAGTTAAGACAAAATTTCATTGTCACAGGATGTTCATTTGTTAGCACAGCACTGCTTTACAAGAATACATCTTTTAAATATTGCATGGATTTTAGCTTTTTAAAGAATAGCTTGCTTGCCTGTTCAGGACAAACTGGGTCTATTAATGTGTATATATGTAGTACATGGATTTTTTTAAAAACTTATTTGGACATATCATAAAATTCTTTTACTTGTTAATATACAGGTACAGAAAGGATAAGAGCTGAGAAAAATAAACACCTTCCCTCACATGACCAGCAGCTTAAAGATGAGCAACCTAAAGTTAGCATTAAGGATTTATATATTTCTATTAGGGTAAGTAAAATACTTTAGGTAAACAAGACAATTAAGTTGACCTATGCAGTTTTCCAGTAGTGGACTTAAGAAAATATTCATACAGTGTTCAACTTAAATCTGGGTAAAACATTTGGATCCTTTTAAATAAATCATGCACTTCACATGTAATGGAAAATAGTTCCCACTTGTATCTATGTGGCATTGTCAAGAACTTGACTAAGGAAAGACTGATACCAGGTCTTTTCTTTCTATTTCTTTTAATTTTGCTTTCATTTTAATTTCTGTTTATGGCATTTAATGAGATGACATGTAATTGTCAACATTATTTTTATTATGTTTAAACGAGTTGGGAGAGCTCTAGGTATTAAACACATATTTCCATAAACATCATACTTCATGAAATATAATATCAAATGGAAACTTCTTTGTTTCCCTAGGTGGGAACAGGCCTACAATATAGATATCATGGTGTAAAAACATTGGCAACATCTGAATAGTGAGATCCTGCTTAAAATTTGTTTCCTCTTCTTATACTTACAATTTTATCTTTTGTTTTGCTTGCAGAATTGTATTTCTTACATATAGATTTGATTGATCACTCCCCAGATTACTTTATAGAGGAATTTCACAATCTTAATAGGACTTTCAAGCTCCTACACAGTAGCATGAGAAGGAACTCATCGGAATTTTATACCTGTCTTCTCCACATTCTAGTCACTTGCTTTTTCCTGGACACATTTGCTATTTTAGCATTCTGAAACTTTGTATATGCTAATTTGTCTACTCAATATGAATTATACTCCAATATATATACATATTTCACATTTCCTTTGTGCATTCAGTAGTTGATGGGCACATAGGCTGATTCTATACTTTGACTATTGTGAATAGTGCTGCTATAAACATGGATGTGCAGGTATCTTGACTGTATGTTGACTTACATTCCTTCAGATATATGCCCAAGAGTGGTATAGTGTGATCATGTGGTAGTTCTAGCTTTAGTTTTTTTAAGCAACCTCCATACTGAATTTTCATTATGGCTTTACTAGTTTGCATTACTATCAAAGATATAGAAGGGTCATCTCTTTTTCCTGCTTCCTCACTAGCATTTGTTGTTGCTTGTTTTCTTGATGATAGCCATTTTGATTGGGGTGAGATGGAATCTCAGTGATGTTTTAATTTGCATTTCCTAAGGATGGTTTTCATTGACTAGGGATGCTGACTATGTATTTATTAGCCATTTATACTTCTTTTAAAAACTGTTTAATTCATTTGCTCATTTATTAATTAGATTATTTATTCTTTTGGTATTTTTTGGATCTCATTATATAATCTGGATATTAATCTTTTATCCAATGAATAACTGGCAACTTTTTTTCCCATTCTGTAGGTTTTCTTTTGATTCTGGTGATTATTTCCTTTGTCATGCAGAAGCTTTTGAATTTGATACAGGCACCACATATTCTTTTCATGATGTGTTGCCTCATTCAAAACAATGGGGTCAACCAATCATGATCTGAAACCTCTAAAACTGTGAGCCAGAGAAAACCTTTTCTCTTTATAATTACCTCAGGTATTTGTTATAATGATGAAAAGGTCTAACATAGATATATACCCAAAAGTGAGGTAGCCAGGTCACACAGTAAATCTATTTTTAGTTTTTTGAGGAACATTAATTCTGTTTTTCTCAATAGTTGAACCAAATTATATTCCAACTGGAAGCATATAAGAGTTCTTTTTTCTCCATGTCTTTGTCAGCATTTGTTATTTCTTTTTGCTTTGTTTCATTCCACTTTCTCTTTATATTTTTTGACCATTTGTATTTCTTCTTTTGAGGAGTATCTATTCAGATGATATGCCTATTTTCAAATAGGATAGCATTTGTTGTTAAATTTTTTTTTAGATCTTTACCTATTCTGAATATTAATCCTTTGACAAATGAAGAGTTTGCAAATATTTTATCTTATTCTGTAGGTGGTCTGTGCTCTGTGATTCCTGCACAGAAGCTTCTTAATTTTATACAATCCTATGAGTCTATTTTTGCTTTTGTTTCCTGTGTTTTGGAGTCATATTTAAAAAATCATGCCTATACTGATGTCTTGTGGTATGTTTCTTAAGTTTTATTTTAGTGAGTTATACTTTCTGGCCTTAAATATAGATCTTTGATCATTTTTTAGTTCATTCTTGTACAATTTGAGAGACAGGGATCAAATTTGAGCCTTTTGCATATGGACATCCAGTTTCCCCTCATTGTTTATTGAAGAGTCTGCCCTTTCTCCAAAGTGTATTTTTGTCATCTTTGCCAAGAATCAGTTGGCTGAAGATGCATGGAATGGATTTATTTCTGAAATACATATTCTGTTCATTAGCCTATAGTGTCATGCTCCTTTGATAACTATGGCTCTACAGTATGTCTTTATTTTTTTGTGGTATGAAAATTGAAGTCAAGGCCTTGTACTTGCAAGGCAAGAGCTCTATCACTTGAATTATGCTCCCAACCCTTTGGTTTTTATTTTATTTTGCTAACTTTCCTGATTACCCTTGAACTTTAATCCTCCTGCTTCCACCTCCCAAGTAGCATGGGTTATAGATATGTGCCAATATGTCCAGCTAGAGTGTGTCATGAAATCAGATACTGTGATGCCTCCAGCTTTGTTGTTTTTGTTAAATATTACCTTGGTTATTTGGTGTCCTTGTTGCTTCCATATGAATTTTAGGTTTTTGTTATAGTTCTATAAATAATATCATTGGTAATTTTATGGAGATTGCATTAAATCTGTAGATCACTTTTTGTAGTATGGGCATTTTAATGATATTAATTCCTCCATTCAGTGATCATCTGAAATCTTTTCATATTTTTGTGTCTTCTTCCATTTATTTCACTGGTGTATTATCATTTTCATTGTAAAGATCAATGAAACTTTCTAGGTTAAATTTGTTTCTTGGTATTTTATTTTTTGTAACTCTTTTGATCTGATTGTTTATATGATTTCTTTCTCAACAAATTTTGTTATGGGTATATAAAATGCTACTAATTTTTGTAGTTTTGATTTTGCTCTATAAATTTACTGAATTCATTTATCAGTTCTAATAGTCTTTGAGTATTGACTAGATTTTCTATATATGATATCATATTATCTATAAACAGATAATTTTACATTCTCTCTTTCTATTCAGATACCTTTTATCTAAATTTAAAATTGGATTTAAGGGGCTGGGATATAGCTCAGTGGTATGGTGCTTGCCCAGCATGCATAAATTTGGGTTGTAGAGTAAAAAGTAATCACAAACTATAAATAATTCATAAACTCATTTAACAGAAGTGCTTAAAACTTCATGAAAATTTAAATTCTTGCATCAGTATTAAAGAAGATTGGGATAAATTTTTGGAATGATATATCTTTCAATTTATGGCAACATGCATGTATGTGATTTATTTTCTATATAAGCTGTGAATTCAATGCAAGTATAATCAATAATATGCATGAATGTTATCTTTTTAGTAAATGGCAAAGTCATTCTAAAGTTCAAAGCACCAGTAGTTAAAAAAACAGCACTGACCTAGTTACACATTAAGAAGTACCACAGGGCTATAATAGCAAAAACAAGATAAATATGCAAAAATGTACAGATAAATAGACCAGAGTAAAAAGATAGAGAACTCAGCAGCATATTATATTTATTAAAATACAGTAAGCACTACAAGGACAATTGTTCTGATTATGTGATGACAAATTTTGCTCACTGTAAGTGAATAATGAGATAGGATCTCTACCTTCTATTATGTACAAAGGTGATTTCAGGTTTACAAAATATTTTAGATAAAATGATAGAGTGACTGTTAAAACTGAAAGAAATATATTTGTAACAGAGAAGTGGGAAATGTGTGTTAAACAAGATTTTAATAAAATTCAAAGCAAAACTCTGTCTTAGGTTACATCAAGTCAAGGATTTCTATTATATGTAGAAATCTATAGATAGTAGAATAGATAGATAATAGATATCCACATCCAAAAATGTAGTATTCAGAGTGAATAAGGAATTATTGAAAAAAGACACATGCATACACACATACACACACACAAACCAAATAACTAAAAATTATATGAAGAAATACAGTTACATGTGAAATGATAGAAGTATAAAATGAAGTTTTATGATATTATTTTATAATGTCTGCGTGGCAAAAGTTTGAAAACCAGAAAATAATATCAAATATTTTTATTGCTATGTGCTCATTATCTATTGCGCATGACAAGATAGTACAATATTTAGGAGCATAAAACAGTACAGTCTATTTCAGTCATCAGTGTACAATTTGTGCAGTGCTTACAGCTCTCAGTGGTTCTTGTGGTCAAGTAGAGTGATCAGTCTGGAGGATGAAATCATCTCAAGGGTTCTTTGCTCAAATATTGGCCTTTAATACTAGCTGGAAGAACACCCACACATGGCCTTTCTATCTTATCTGGGCTTTCTCACACCATGGTGACTGAGTTTTAAGGAAAGAGTCTTGAGAGGACGAGATCCCAATGAAAGGTATATTGCCACCTTATGATCCAATCTCAGAAGTCATGCAGCATCATTTACCTTTTTAGAGGTAATCATAAGACCTTTCCAAATTTAATGCAACAGTATAATTTTGGTAGTGCTTGCAGAAACTAAAATGTTGCAGAAATGAATTTTAGAAAGTAAAAACTGCTGCACGATGAAAATGGAACTTCTCTTATATTGTTAGTATATACATACATTCTGAACAATCTAGAGAAATAGTGAAATAAATTATTGTAAACACCAACATGCTCATAATCCCAAACTTCCAAAACCACTCTGTCATAGGACATCAAGACTATATGCACAAGGATTTTTAATGTAGCCATGTTTGTGATAGTAGGGAGTTGAAGATAACATAAGTAGTTAATCCTACAGAAATGGATAAATATAATAGAATCATGATGCAAAATTTGATAGCACTAAGCAGGTGAATTAGGTAAATATGCAAAATATGATTACATTTAATGAGGCCAATCCTTCCCAGATTTTTTCAGCAAGCTACCAGGCCCACAAATAAAAATTATAGGCTGCATGAAGACAAATTTAGATAAAAGTGTTCAAAAGTACCAGCCTTTTAAGGAATGTGTATATTGGTGAATTTTATATTTTTATTTGGATATGTATTGTTATATGTACTTTTTATATACAGTTTTTAAAGTTTATATTAGGGAAGACAAATTTTCATAGATTGATCATTAACATAATAATGGATGTATGTATTCCTCTTGACCTAACAAAATGAAATAATTAATACATAACTTATTTCTGTTTCAGTATCTGATAAAGAATCCACTGTTCATGTGCCAGGCTGTCTCCAAAGCTGCAGAATCCTTAGTTATTATTGGAGTTACTAAATTTTTGCCTGCATATTTAGAAAATCAGTTTATATTAACTCCCAGTGTGGCAACAATGCTTACAGGTAGACTTACCTTTTCATTGTTTTAAAAAATTTTGTGCAAAATCTTCAGATGTGTATATGTGTGTCTATACACACATACATACTTGTGAAATATTTCAAGTAACCAGAAAATACAAGTAATAATATACTTGAACACCATTTGCTGAAATTTAAACAGTCTGAACACTTCGTTTTCATTGCATCAATAATTTTAAGTGCATAAAACCCTATACGGACTTCTGTCTCCTTTCTTGGTCCATTTCTCTTCCTCCCTTCCCTAAGTTAACCAGTCTTCTGCAGTTACTGCAAATCTTTTTTATTCGTTTTTGCACACCTTTTCTACTTATTTGTCTGTACATATTACTTGTATTTTTTAAATTCATGATCATTTTATACAAATTCTTCTGCTGTATTCTTTTTCCTCATGTTAATCTCATCATGATCTACATCTGTTTTTATTGCAGCTTAACTGTACTAAGGGATTCTATTTTTATGAATGCATAGGTGTTCGTTCAGGTTGTGTCCGATATTTTACTCTTCCGTAAAACATGAAAATTCCACCTTGTGCAAATTTTTAAAGTTTGTTTTGTGTTTTGACTTTAAAGGGAAATTGCTATTGCGTACATCCTCAGTTTTACCAGTTATTGAGAATTTGGCTCTCCAAAAGAGGTGACTAGATGAATTATGTGCTATAAGGCTCTACAATAATGGGATATTAGTTAATATGATCATTTATTTTTGGTTGTAAAAAGTACAGGATGCATGCTGTAACCAATAAATGAATAATAAAAGAGGAGATTATATGAAGTATTAGATTAACTGTGAATAAAACTAGAAAGATAAGAAAGAATGAACATCGCCTGATACTGGTGGCTCACACCTGTAATCTTAGCTACTTAGGAGGCAGAGATCAGGAGGACTGTGGTTCAAAGCCAGCCCAGGCAAATAGTTCGTGAGAACTTATCTTGAAAATACCCAACACAAAACAGGGTTGGAGGACTGGCTCAAGTGGTAGAAAGCCTGCCTAGCATGAACTTAGGGCATGAAGCCCTAAGTTCAAACCCTAATATTGCCAAAAAAAAAAAAAAAAAAGAATGAATGAACATAAGGTATGTGGGAAAAATAGAAAATAAATATTAACATGTGTAGAAACCTTGATTATAAGCCAATTATTGAATATATTTTTTCAATAAAAGGTCCTGCATTGTCAGACTACAAATTTTCCAAAAAGCCAAAACATGACACAGATCCATTTCCATGGAAATAATGACAAATTTCCCGTGAATAAATCACATTATTGGCCACTGTGAGTTGACAAAGTTTGGGACTAAATACATTAATTTTGTTTCTAATAGTATTTAATTAAGCCAAAATTGACAGATTCCTAGACACAGATGAGGCCACTTGTGGTATTGACTTCAACTACATCTTCAAGGACCTGGACCTAGTCACCTGAATAAATAAATCCCTTAGCCATCAGGTTTTCTCTTAAGTTTATCTATTGGTCTTTCCACCCAGCCTGATATATTAGTCAAACTATGACAGTGTAATAGTGATTGATTGTACATTCCACATTGGCCTGCATGAACCAATTTGAAATTCTGAAATTCATAGCAATGTTGATTAGAGAGTTTCACTTGCCAGAGTGCTTTCCAGGGCTGGGCTGGTATCATTGATTATTTCAACTAAACCAGGGACAAACTATGTATTACCTTTTTGAATTGGATTGTAGAGATAATAGCACTCAGAACTAAGATGAATAATGTGAAGCTCCTCTGAGTAACCAACAGGAAACTTCTTTTAGAGAGATTTCCATACTCTTTTGAGGCTATATGATCTACTGGCCATCTCTCTTTCAACACTAGACCATTTCTTATGGGAATGCCTTTGCTCTTTCATTTTTTTTTCATGGTACAGTTGTTTTTATTTTAACTCAGAGCATTGTACTTGATAGGCAGGCACTCTGCTTTTTGAGCCACACTACCAGCCCTTTTTGCTGTGGCTATTTTTTTGTACAGGGTCTTGATTTTTTGCACAGAGTCAACCTTCACTGCAACTCTCCTATCTATGCCTCCTGTTAGCTAGAATTATAGTCATGAAACATCATGCCCAGCTTATTGGCTGAGGTGGGGTCTCACTAATTTGTTGCCCAATCTTTGCCTCCACATAGCTGAGATTATATGCACCACCATGCCTGTGTTCTTGAATATATTATTTCCATAAGACAAGTAAAGCTTGTCAAATAATTAGTTGTGAATCTTATTTGTTACATCCAAAATGAGAATTTAGGACTCAGAGTTACTAGGCCTCCATATTTTGAGGCTTGTCTTTGACAAGAGGACAGTAACAGTTGGTTTTCAAAAGGTACCTATTTTAGAGAGTCATTGAGTCCTATATCTCAAGAAAGGCATGCTAGTGGAAGCTCCCTCCATTTTCAGAGACACAGCCCTCAAAATCATCAGTTATGAAGACTTACAGGTCACAGAGCTCATTTGACCATGGCATTTCAAAGCAGAGAGTATGCGACAGCTTGCTGATCAGGTTTAGTGTTGGTTTGTGGGTTAGCTGACAAAAGATTAAGTAGAATGCCCAAATAAGGCACCTACTATCTCCAAAGGTCAGAATCCAAAGTGATGCTGCTTTGCCTTTGGTTTTTAGGGAAAGGAGATAAGCAATTTTTCCTTGGCTTCCAGAGAGGTTGAGCATTGTGAATCTATCTGTGGAGTTTCTGAAAAATGTAATGACAACTCTTCTGGATTTTGTTGGGCTTTATGAGTTACCCTTACTGGTGATGGTTTGAAATGACCAGAGTCAGAGTGATTGAGTGTGTAGCTTCTCACCCTCTAGCCAACTGAATATTGTCTACCAGGGGCTGTAAATTTCCCTCCTTTCACACTCAATGTGATTGTACACTTTCATTAGCTAAAAGCAAGAGGAATCTTCTAAGCATGATGGATCTTAATGATAGTGGTTACAATGGGTCAGACTGAAGCTGATGCCAATTGACAAGGACATGCTTCTGTATAGAAGAATGATAATAATAACCATATCACCCTCTGTGAAATTGTACTAGTTTTCTGAGCCTCAAATGATGAGTGCACAGGCAACCTGTGCACTCAGGGAACTCAAATCTTTTGTAAAAGGAAGTAATCATGCCTGTCTTTTGCCTCTAAAGGAGACATCACTGTACTGGATAGCATGCATACTTCTTTCAAAAGCTGATAGGGTTAGGAGAAAAGATATAGCCATAGAAAATCTGAGCAACAAGAGTAGCAAATTCAAACTGATTGATATATGTGGAATACTGTACCAACTAAACTCAGAAAATATTTTCTCTCAAGTGTGCATAAATCATTAGCCTCATCTTGGGTGATAAAGCAAACCTTAATATTTTTAAAGGTTTGAAAGTGTCCATAGTGTAGTCTCTGACTGCAGTAAAATTAGGGTAAAAATCATTAATAAAATATAACGATTAAAAAGCTTGCCAGTGGGGCTGGGCACTGGTGGCTCACACCTGTAATCCTAGGAGGCAGAGATCAGTAGGATTGCGGTTTGAAGCTAGCCCAGTTAAATAGTTCATGAGACAGTATCTTGAAAATACCCAGCACAGAAAAGGGCTGGTGGAGTGATTCAAGTGGTAGAGTGTCTGAGTTCAAGCCCCAACACTGTCAAAACAAAACAAAGCTTGCCACTGGAAATTATATTTTACAATTTTACTGGAAAATTGCAAATTATATAGAGATACAGTATCTCAAAACATATGGAACACAACTAAATCAACACTTTGAGGAAAGTATGTACATTTGAAAAGAAACAGGCTTCAAACTCAGTGATCTGAACTTATGTATTAAAAAACCTTCCCCCTCCCCAAAGAGCAAATCAACTCAGCACGAAAAGAAGGAATGGGGCTGAGCATGGTGGCAAACACCTGGCTCCCCAGTTATTCAGAAAGAAAGACAGAAAGATCATGGTTCAAGGTCAAGGCAAAAGTAAGAGAACTGTAGTCTGATGCCAGCCTGGGCAAAAATGCGAGATCCTATACCAAAAAAACACTGGTGTGAGTGGTAAAGTGCTTACCTAGCATGTGCAAGACCTTGAGTTCAAGCCCCAGTATAACCAGAAAAGAAAACTATCACCTTCTAAACTGTGAAAATCATATATTTTTAATTTTCAGAGAAAGAAATATAATGATGAAAATGAGTTATCAGCTACGCTTTAAGATCCAATTTACCCTTTATTCTTGTTATGTTTATATCCCCTTTATTTCTTTCTCTTGCCTTATTGCTCTGGCTAAGAATTTAAGTTCTGTATTGAATAAGAATAGTGTTAGTGGACAACCTGTTTCATTCTTGATTTTAGAGAAAATGCCTTTAGTTTTCCCTTATTCAGGATAATGTTGGCTCTTTGTCTGTATATGGCTTTTATTATGTTCAAGTATGAACCCTCTATTCCTAGTTTCTTCAGGTATTTTATCATGAAGTAACGTTGGATTTTGTCAAAGATTTTTTTATGCATTTGTTGAAATGATTCTTGTACTTATTTTTGTTACATGCTGTGTTACAATTATTGATTTGTATATGCTGAACCATCCTTGCATTCCTGGAATGAAACTTGATCATGATGTGTGATGTTTTTAATGTGTTGTTGAACTTGGTTGGCAAGTATTTCATTGAAGATTTTTGAATATATAGGCATCAAGGAAATTTGGAGTCAGGATAATAGTGGCTTTGGAGAATGAGTTTTGGAATGTTCCTTTGTATTTTGTAGAATAGTGTGAGGAGCATTGGTGTTAGTTCCTTTTTAAAGGTCTGCTAAAATTCAGCAGTGAATTCATCCAGTCCTGGGCTTCTCTTTGTTGGGAAGTTTTTGTTTGCTTATTCAATCTTGGCACTTACTCTTGATCTGTTAAGTTTATTTGGATCCTCATGGTACAACTTTGGAAGTCATGCATGCCTAGAAATTTATCCATTTCTCCTAGGTTTTTCACTTTATTACAGTATAAATTCTCAAAAATAATCCCT